AGGTAGGGAAACCTCCAGACATTGCCCAGTCCCACCGCGTAGCCCACCGATGCCAGGATGAAATCCAGCCGCCCACTCCATGTGGGTCTCTGCGCCTCTGCTTCCGCACTCCTCTCTGCGATCGCTTTGAAATCTGAGGGTCTCAGAGCATAATCTCTCTCATCAGATGGCATCTTTGAATTGTCGGCCCCGACCTCCATCGTAGTTTATTAGCGATAAGTGACAATCTGTGTCACACATCCGACAAATAACAAATCCGGTTAAATTTAGACTGAACCAATTGCATCGATTCCGTTTCGAATAAACTCCGGCGAGTTATCCTCAGGTATAACTCTCCCCAGATGATATAATCAGACCGACACTAAACCACCTGAACGTCTGTTACTTAACAATGATGAGTTGTTTTTAAAGAGAGCCATTGAGGCAGAAGGATATCCTAATAGCTCAGTGATCGCCGGTAACATGCAACATGCAGAGCCCACCACGTCTGTTCCCAATGCCGCTAACTCAGTCTTGTGTTATGTGACATAAGTGCAGATGTCTTCCTCCATTCTCAGTCCGGTTGCTGCTGCCAAACCAGCCTCACACTGTTAGGTACGCCTCTTTTCAAAATAAAAGCCCAGTTGAACTTCACAATGCGAACAGATGTGTAACGCTGGAGAAAACAAAAATGTTGCATGAGCGCATTGTCAACACAAAACCATATGCGGAAGATAGCTACCAGGTCACTATAACAGACCATATGGCTTTTAGACTTTAATAATTGATTATTATAATTGATAAGTGAATAATTTATTAGGCTCTTACTGATAGGTTGGACGCTGCCGCATATAGTTTTGTTTTATGGCCTACAATGACAAGACAAATTTAATTTTATTAATTAACTTTTCTTCCTGTTGGTGTATGGATTATAATGTTACAGTGTTTTATCATGATGTTTTCCTTACGATGTGGACAGTAAAGCCAAAAACTGACCAGCAGGTGTCTCTCTGTGTGAACCTGCTTATCAATAGGTGTATACCATACTGTCAAAAGTTTGTACTCTCAATAAATAGAAATGTTGGTATGTTTACAGCTATACAGAAAAGGACAGATACAGCTATAGACTGGTGTTCATGCAGAGAATAATCTACAGAAACAGTGGCCATCATTAGCTATTGTGCAGTAAATCCAGGTTGTATAGATTCCAGCTCTTAATGGACTGTAGACTCCATCAGCTGCAATCAGTGTGGAGCCACTTAATAACTGATATGCTCCAGTAATAGGAACCTACCAGTTGGTATGCTTTCTCAAGCAGATTGACTACATTTGTAGCCAATATATTATTATTTTGCACAATTATGTGTGTAGCAACATTTAAAACTCAGCGGGAATATATATATAGGCAGTGGTGGAATGTAAGTAAATACATTACTCAAGTAGGCTGGTGCTTAATATATTGTAAATAGTGTAATATTTATTCCACTACATTTGTTATAATCCATTATTATGGATTAAACTACCCAGCACTATATGAAGTAATGAGACAATGAGTCCCTCCTTTACCAGCTGCAACAGTGAAGTAATGAACACATTAATGCAATAATGATTATAATCCACTAACATTATAATATTGTTCTTTGATACTTTAAATATATTAAATGAGTATTTTTATACTGTGGTGTATGTGCTAATCTCCCACAAGGTGGCAGTATTATCTAGGGGAATGAGGGGAAATGGACAGGCATTAGGCAAGACGCCTCAGCAAAGACTGGGGTCCTTTACCACTGCTCACCATGGATGCAGTAACTAGAGTTATTTACTAGGTTTGTAGTCAAATTTGAACCTATATGCACATTGTTTATATGCCGTTGATCATGTCAGTGAAAAAAGCAAGCTAACTTTTTTTAGTTTGTCTTTCTTCAGATTCTTTTTTTTGCCCTTCACACAGAATGAAAATCTGCCCTGAAAGAGGACAGCAGTTCACTTCTGTGTGTTCAAGTTCTATGAACTCAGGTGATGTGTGGAGGCCCCTGGAGGGGGCTGCTATGGCACTGGCTGCACATGTAACACCTCTAAAACACTTTGTGCCTTTGAATAACACATTTCCTGTACCAAATTATTTTACAGTTCTATTTCTGAGTTAATGATTTCCCCACACCAAAAAAAAATAAAAATCACCCACACTTGTCACGCTCCAGATGAGCATGCATGATGCAGTCCGAGCTTTACAGGCTCACACTTTGGTCTGCTTGGTCTGCTCTCAAACTTTCACAAAATTTTCGGATTTACATGCCTTTTATAAATCTGTTTTATGTTCACTTTTTAATAAATTAAACATACTGGTTGAATATTTGTGTCAGTTTTTCTTTTGCTGAATTTTAAAATGACATCTGGTCATCAGGCTAACAGCCAAACAAACATAATTGTGCAAAATGGGAGGGCGGCCTCCCCTGGGGGGGCCCAAACTGTTTCAGGGGAGGCTCGGTGAGTGGAAGGGGAAAAATATCCCATTAGTAGTTCTAGTTGCGGTGAATTTTATTGTTTTTTACCTCGTCTCCAGTCATAGACACACAGACCTTATGTATCTATTTGTGTAGTCTGAGGTCAAACAGCATTATAAAGCTATATGTGCTCAACTGTTCCAAAAATCAGTGAATAAGATGCCACAAATATCCTCTTATTTAACTTTCTGAGACATTGATTGCAGTGGACAGTCACGTGATAAACTGTGCCACAGTGCCCCCTGGTGGTTCTGAGAAGAACTGTGTGGAGTTTTATAATGTACCATGGATACAGATAGATGTCTCCAGAATCACAAACAGGCCACCATCAATCTAATCTAATCTATAAGATTTTTCCCCCCTTATTAAACTTTTTTTCTTCTCTGGTACAGCAAATGTGGTTTATCACATACATTATCAATACACTTCATAATGAATATTTATTTTTTTCACATAACAGTGTAGGCTAATGCATTTAAAATGTCAGGCCAATATATGAAAAGAAGAAAAAACAGCCTGTACAACATACAGGACATGTACCTCATTACCTAAACGTATCCAGTAAATAGGTCGTGTCTGTGCATAGACACGTATCTACCACACCGCTTAGTGAGTGACTGAGGTCAACAGCTGTTATTAGTTTGATCTGCTGTTTTTTGTCATATAGGCTGAATGCATATTCTCTTCAGGCAAACCATGAGGGCTGCGTTGAAAGACAAAAACCTGTGTTTGCACTTGAGATTTTTTCCCCAGTCCTATCAGAAAGATTACATCTCTAAAACGATACATCAGACAGAAGGTGACATCAGTGTCCTTTAACATACATTAGAGCAAACCAGCGGACGACAGATGAGCTATATAAGGCTCTTTCAACTTTGGATAAAAAAGTACTGAAAATGTGAATAAGTGACAAACACATTTGGTGCTGATGATGCTAATTTCCTGCACCATCAGCCACATTTGATCCTCAATGTCACGTTTTTTGTTTTATCTTCACCAGCTTTGTTAATCATTTGCTTTGCTGCAATAATACATTTGATGTTGATGGTTATTTTAAGACTATAAAACAGTTAT